GACTTTTAGCATTAGCTAATGTCATTTTCCTTCAGAAGGTGGTACAAATATCCATACTGTATATATCCATGTATAGTCACATAAAATATCTGATGTTTGATATCAAGTGTGTTTATTTTGGGACACTGGGCACTGTCTTTTTTTACTAATTTTCCACCCCAGGTCAGATGCCAACTGTGCCTCTTTCATCTGTACTTCCCCCTTTCGGCCCAACAAGGAAACCCTGCCTGGTGAACCTCCAACTGCTCCCTGTACCTCTGCCATTTTTGCCTCCTGTTGTCAACTATGTCAGTCTGGCTGGGAGAAAAAAACAAAACAATCACTTTAAAAAATTTTCATGAAATTGAAAATGTTCTGAAGTTCAATGTGAGACGGGAAAAAAAAATCCCTTGGCTCCACTCCCCTTCCCCCCCCAGTGGCTGGGTCAGAGATGCTGGAAATTGAAGAGAGGTTTTTTTCCACCCATGCCTGAAACCACAGGCTACTAGAATAATGTCAATTTCAAAATGACAACATGAGTACAATGACTAAGTGTGTTTTTAATAAGTCATGTATAAGCTGATTTATGACATATGAATTTCAATATACTGTACATTTACTGGTATATATTTGCAAGGAAACAGGATTTTCTAGTAAACAGCTTTATGTGACACGCACGAGCTTAATTTTTAAAGGACACTGCCAAAAAGCATGTCATTATACTTTACTGACTCACTGGGATGGAACTCCTATGAAATCATTAATGTTTTCACTATAATAAATAAAACATGAAAACAAAGTACTTTGGTGGGCCTTTTGTGCGGTATTGAAAGGTTAATACTACAAAAAATGTTTCCCTGCAATATATTTTACCCAGGTAAGAATAAGGCAGTGAAATATAGCTATCCAATACTGACATTTATCAGGTTTAAAATAGAACAAAATAAATAATTGTTTTTTCCGGGTATCTAGAATATCCAGAAAAAAATTGATATGACCTAGACCAAACTATATTTTTTCAGAAGTTTTATCAAAATGTTAAATCAAAAAGTTGACAAATTTCATTTGGGGTTAATTTAACTTTTTATAAAAATGCTAAATCAGAAAGTTGACAAATTTCATTTGGGGTTAATTTAACACAAAACAAAACATTTCATTTTGGGGTATTTTTAATAAAAGTGAAGGAAAATGAAGGGGTAGATTTAAAAAAAACTACTGGGGGAAGTAGTGGTGGTGATGGAGTTAAGGGCGTTCCACTTCTTATAAATGCTTGATTAGTTATTGTTCCAAAGAGAGTGAGAGATCACTCATCTGGAATGTGGGCGACCCAAATTTGTCCCTGATCCATACTTATGTAAACAACAGGCGAGACGGGGTCCCATCCCAGAATAGCCAATAGCCTACTATTTAGGGGGCACTCAGCTAGGAGGTAGAAGACAAGCTTTCAAGGGGGCTACAACTTCCTCCTTTAGTGGCTTTGTGATTGTCACCTAAATTCTCTAGTGAATCTAGGGGTCCTCTCCAAATAAATTTGTTTTGTTGGAAACTATTCTGTGAATTTGTATCACATTTGTGAGTAGCTTCAGCCAACCTGAAACTTCATTAGTCAGCAAATAAATTATTTGTCCGAAAATGTTCATCAAACTCATTTAAAAACAGTGAAACAGTCTTACCTTTACCACATAAACCTAAAGCTGTTATTTATGTTGAGTATTACCTGCTCTCACAAGTAAATGTTGAAATCTGTTCCTAAGTTTGTGCATGCAACTTAAATGTTGCCCCTTTGTCTGTAGATGCAATAACATAATGTCATGCCTAGATTCACATATGTAGCTTCTTGAGGGTCTCTATATCACTTTTAATATGCCAGATTTGGTATATGCCAGAGCTCACACAACATACACAGTAAATACCATCTTCACAATAGTTTCTTGATTAAAATCTTCCTAGTTAATTGTCTAAATCTCTGTTCTGCTTCAAGGGAAAGTTGTATTGTGATTATCTAAGCTGTTAAAATAACTCAATATTAGTGAACTGGCTAACTCCCCAAAATATGCCAAAGCATGATTGTGGTGCTGGTTAAAAAGAAAATGTATAGTACTTGGGAGTGACACATTTGCTAAAATATGCAGCTTAGAGAAGAGTATTTGCTCTCTAAAAAGTCTCAGTAACTAGAACAGTCCTGGAACTGAAACTTGTTCTGACAAGTTTGTATAAGCATAAAAGCATGAAAATTACATTCAAAATGCTACATATGCATATCCAAGAGAGTAGGGAAAACTATGTGTTAAATTTGGCCCCACTGAAGTCCAAGGGCTTTTACCTGGATTTCAATGAGCCAGGATTTTGCCCTAATCCGTGTGGCTGCGTCTAGACTGGCATGATTTTGTGGAAATACTTTTAACAGAAATGTTTTTCAAAAGCATCCGTGGCCAGTCTAGATGCGATTTTGCACAAGAAAGCCCCAATCGCCATTTTTGCCATCGGGGTTAAAATATGCAGCTTAGAGAAAAGTACTCTTGCGCAAGAGGGCTTTTTCCCGAGCAAGAGTGGGAAAGTATTTGCACAAGAAGCACTGATTTTGTACATTACAAAGTCAGTGCTCTTGCGCAAATTCAAGCAGCCAGTGTAGGCAGCTGGCAAGTTTTTGCACAAAATCTTGCCAGTCTAGACGCACCCTATTAGTTTAATAACATGATTATGTCATTAAAGACCATGAGGGAAGGCTTATGTGCAAACACAGTTAGAGCTGCGCATGCAACTTTAATCTTTGCATTTCCTGATTCTTGCATGCTTAATCTCCCCCTCTTAATGTCCTTTTAATGTAGATTTCTTGTGAAACATATGTTGCCTCTCATGTTGCTAACACACTCAACCCAGTTGGGCTTAGTTGCCACCAGATGAAATAAAGTTTTATTTATGTTTTCTGTTGCTTTAAAGCTATTTTTGATCAAAATTCAATAAAATAGAGCAGTCTGTAGAAGCATATCCATTTTTGTAAAGGGTACCAAAATAGGTCCTTGACAGCAAGACCTGGAAAGTCTTAGGAACTATGAAATGTCTGTGAAATGCCTGACTTTCTAAGAGTATGTCTACACTACAAAGTTAATTTGAACTAACAGACGTTAGTTCGAATTAACTTTGATAGGCGCTACACTAGCGGAGTGCTTAATTTGAATTAGGTAAACCTCATTCTACGAGGACTAACGCCTAGCTGCTCATGCAGGGCGCACCACCCCGCCCGGGACATGCTCCCGCACCCGTGGCCTGCTCTGGACCACCACCACGGAGCAGGAGTACTGGGACCAGCACCTGGGGTCCTTGCGAGCCCTGCACCGCACAGTGGAGGCCTGGATGCAGGCAGACCTTCAGCTCCGCCAGGAGCAGCTGGCTGAGGACCGAGCCAGAAATGCAAACCTATCCATGATCTCCGCACTAGATGGAGGAATGCAGCCATCTATGGCAGGATAGCTGCCAGCCTGGCCACCAAAGGTCACATGTGAACCTAGAAGCAGGTTTGCATGACAATCAAGATGGTCCAGTGAGACCCCCAACCCTGAACCCTGAGCTTTCCCTCCCCTTTCCCCTAGCTTCCCCCTTCCAGCTCCCTCCTCCCAGGTTACCCTCTCCCTCTTCCCCCATCCTTTTCCCAGTCTCCCCAGAGGTTCATCTTCCCCTCCCCAGTTTTGTTCAATAACCCCAGTTTCTATTTTTGAACATACATGTTTTTTATTTGACATCAGGAAGAGGGGCGAGGGAGGGGTAAGTGGGAGGATGTGAGGGAGGAATGGGGCATGAGCCCCCTGTGGGGAGGACCGGGATGGCTGAGAGCTCCTCAGAGTGGACCCTCTCCCTCAGGGCCTTCAGGATATTGACAGGCCCCCCAATAGACCCCCCCAGATGACAGCCTGCAGCAAGTGCAGCCGGGCTGATGGCAACGATCCCATGAGACGCACCAGTGTGCCCAGGGGCAGCTCTGGCTCCATGTGGCCAAGTGCTGTGGTGTCCCAAGTGCGGGCACTCAGAGCACTCCAAGACACGACTGCTTTGCTGTCCCTCACTGAAGTAGACAAGCAAGCAGGGAACCCTGAGAACTGTCTGTCTGGGGTGGGGGTAGGTTCCCTTTAAGCATGGAGCTCAGTTAGCCTCAGGCAGCAGCCCCACAATTTAAGCCCTAACCTGATGCCCTGCTGGCACTGGTTCCGGTCAGCCTTTACTTCGGTTCAGGGTCCACTCAATGTGGACGCGCTAGTTCGAATTAGCAAAATGCTAATTCAAATTAGTGTTTAAGTCTAGATGCACTAATTCGAATTAGCTTAGTTCGAATTAACTAATTCGAATTAAGTTAGTTCGAATTAGTGCTGTAGTGTAGACATACCCTCAGGCTACGTCTACACTGGCCCCAAATTCCGGAAAAGGGATGCAAAGCAGGTAAGTCAGAATAGGGAAATCCGCGGGGGATTTAAATATCCCCCGCGGATTTAAATAAACACGTCCGCCGCTTTTTTTCCGGCTTGGGGAAAAGCCGGAAAAAAAGTGTCTAGACTGGCGCCAACCCCCGGGAATAAAGCCCCTTTCCGGAGGAACTCTTATTCCTACCTGAACATAGGAATAAGAGATCCTCCGGAAAAGGGCTTTATTCCGGAGGATCACGCCAGTCTAGACGCTTTTTTCCGGCTTTTCCCCAAGCCGGAAAAAAAGTGGCGGATGTGTTTATTTAAATCCGCGGGGGATATTTAAATCCCCCGCGGATTTTCCTATTCTGACTTACCTGCTTTGCATCCCTTTTCTGGAATTTGGGGCCAGTGTAAACGTAGCCTCAGTGTGTATCATTGACACAATGGTAATATTTTTCTTTCTGGAATCATAGCTCCTCTCATGTTATCCTTTTTTCTTTGCATGACTTTATGGGAAATTATATTGCTTTGAGGAGTACATTTGTACTGTGTGTACACTACGTTGGGCTCTCCACTTCATATATCAGCTCTACATTTTATCAAAGATATCAGTTCATCTCTCACCTTTATTCCTTGGCCAAGACTTTCAAGAGAATTAATATCCAGACCCTCCTTGCAGGCCTGCAAACAGGAAATCACTTTCTGACTCTCAATTTTGCCTGGCCGGATAGTGAGGCTGGCAAGGCTGCCATGGAAATACTGAGCAAATCTGGGTTTTGCAACTTCCCCTCCTAGAAGAAACAGAATGCAAAATTTTTCAGTTGATAATACGTAAATGTAGATATTCCAATGTGTCAGCTTACAATATTGTAGCATGTAAATATAGGTTCAATATCCATTTCAGTCAAATGCTGTTAATCTTCTGCAATCCCGGTTACTAAAATTGAGTGAACGGAGTCTTGACTAGAATATGCTTTATGCGTTGCTGTCATGGCATCCAGGAACACCACTATATTTAAGGTTCAGTCAGCATTTCCATTACTGTAAACTGCTATTTTCATGGATGCTCCAACAATGCACTTGTTGAAACATAAAATTCCCACCCAGGAATGTAGTTATTTCAGAATTTGAAAATAAAAAGGTATTTGACAATTTTAAAATATAAACAGGATGCAAACAAACAGAATTAAATATAACATTGAAATGAGATTTTATACTCCATTTTATGCTTGTGCAGACTAAACATAGTTTTCCATTTATTTGGGTGTGCATATATTTATCTTTCTTCTTTGATAAACACTCATCCACTTTTCTGGCAGCATGTGCTTTTTTTTTTTTAATGAGGCATTATCATCAAAAGTAGACTCCAGAACTTTGCAAATGAGGCATTATACAATGTTCATCAAAAGTAGACTCCAGAACTTTGCTCAGCTATAAATTTGCATAAACATTGCCTGACCTTATCCCCTCAGGCAAATCCTGAAAGAAAAAATAGGGTTAGCACTCTATCCTGGAAGTCAACAAGTCTTGGCCTCTGTGGAACTAACATGAGAAGTGAATTCCAGAATTGAGTTCCTTCTCTGTGTACACCCAGCCACTAGACTCCTAACATGCTAATCATCACTCAGTTTGACTGAGTTTGCTAACCAAGTGCCATGAACATGCAGACATGAACATGCAGAAAAAAAGACAGTTTCTCTGAATTCAAATCTCAGAGGACTTCAAACATTATGAATTCCAACCTGAAGTGATCAAGAAATCATAGCTGCATTGGCATATTATAGCCAACTAATTAGGCAAATAAGACACTTCACTCTACACCGGGGCAGCGAATTACTTTTTGTCAAGGTCCAAATTTCTTGTTTAAGACATAGTCAAGATCCATACTACAGAGAAAATAATAAAATATAACAATAATGATAATCAAATAAAAAAAGGTTTTGGGGTGTGTTCTAAAGCAACTGGCAATCCAGATTTGGCCCATGGTCCACCTGTGCCATATGTGAAATATAGCATCTGAGATCTTCATCTTTATTATTATATTCACGTTTAGTGGTCAAAAATAGATTTTAATATTCACCACTTGCAAGTAATTGAAGTTACTGAGCTACTGTCCTACACTTTGTATAAATCTCCATATAATCTTCTGAGTACACTTCTAAACATTGATTACTAAAGCCCTGAGATCCTCTTCCCCGACTCTCAATGCTCTATTTGCTATAAAAAACAGTTATTTCATAGATAGATAGATAGATAGATAGATAGATAGATAGATAGATAGATAGATAGATAAGAAGGACTATAGACATTGAATGGTGTTGTGGGGCGGTTTTGTAGGCAGAGGTTTGGAATTCCTTCATTGCCCAGTGATTGGAGCAGACATCTCACAACATACTCTTGGATTCTTTCTTCAGCCAAAGAACATCAATCACCCTTTTTCTTCTGTGGTGGCATCACATAGAGAATCGTTATTTATCTCAGACTCCCCACAGTGAGAAAAAGATCAGCTCTGTTTTCTCATGTGCCAATCTGTCCATCATGCAGAAAATTTCCTCTGGATGGATTTCTGCAGAGTCCATGAAAATCTTCACTTTTTCAACCTTTCTACTTCAGGATCAGTTTTTATGGTACATTAAGCTCCTTCCAGTATACACCAAGTTCATACCAGACTCCCTAGGGGTATGACTACACTACCCTCCTAGTTTGAACTAGCGGGGTAATGTAGGCATACCGCACTTGCAAATGAAGCCCGGGATTTGAATTTCCCAGGCTTCATTTGCATAAGCGGGGCGCCGCCATTTTTAAAACCCCGCT